CCCCCCCCCCCCCCCCCCCTCCACACACCCCTTTTGGTATTGCCGGAGCCAGGTTCGCCAAGAACGCAACGAAGCAGCTTCTCCCAGGGCAGCTTTCTGCTGCCGCCGCGAAGCTTGACGAGTGCCCTTCTGTTCAGACGGATGTTCGGCATAGCGGCTTCTTACGGTTGATTGCCTGGTCATGGCAGCACGATGCTTGGGAAATATGGAACGACGCCAACAACTCACTTGCTGGTTTAGTTGAAGGTCCTCTCTTCGTGGAGAAAAGCAGATGTTCTGGGTCCCCGGGAGCTGAAGGCAAGTTGTGGGACCGCACTTTCGCCTTTTCGAGACGAGGATCCTTGCAAAAACAAAACGACGCGGCTCTGCGCAGCAAGGCATATAGTGTTGAAGGGTCTTCAAAAGTGTGAAAGTTGCTTCAGAAGAAGCCCTAGGACGACGGGCAAGGGTTGAGATAGTGATAGCGAGCATGAAGCACAAATGGCCAAAGCAGCCTCTGACAGCGCAACTCCACACAACACACAACATGGCGGGGTTCGAGCTGCGATGCAACAACACGAATAGAACGTGCGGGCCTGTAGGCATGTGGTGTCCGGAAGTGCAGAAACAGTCCTTCTCCGTCCTTGAGATTTTGCTCATGCACAGTTGTTGATGCCGCAGGTACACACGCGATTTTGTCAAGACTGTACCCTTCCGCGGAAGTGGTTCGGGAAGTCAGAGACCTGTCGTCCTTTCGTCTGGCTTTGTAGCGAAGCATGTCTGGCACCTGACCTGAGGTAAGGGAGAGCTGTTTGAACAGCTTGGGTTCTACTACGTCGAGAACTGAGTCAGCGTTCGGTGGATGAGGATCCTTCTTTCCCTCTGGCACCTGAGGTGGGGCCTATTGACGGGCACGACATGGACACACTGGTGGAGGCTTCTGCCCAGCCGTGAGAGCCATCATCCTGGGGCCCGGGGATGCCCGAACCAGGTTCTCACGAACATTCGCAAAGACCACGAAGATGGCACCTTGCAGAAGCCTGTGTTCCTCCACATCAAGACTGCTGCTTGCGCTGCTGGGTTTCTTTTTGGGTCTGGAGCGAAGCCTGCATGTCGCCAGGACGAAAAAGGGCAATGGTTATGAGCCAGCCCAGAAGGCATCTTCACACTGAGAAACCTCGGGATCGCGAAAGTTGACTGAGCGTGTAGGCCAGCGACAAGCTGCATGCGGTTCAGCCGAAGTTCAACGTGGCCCAACTGCAAGATCAGCTTGGCATCGAGTTTACTCAGTTTCCTCGAAGCCTTCTTGAGGTGCCAAAAGGTGCCAGTGATAAGCCTCCGGCGCAAGTCACTCAGATCATGCGCGCAGTGCCACAACGTCGAAAGGTGTCAGACATGTGCCCCGAAGGCCGAAGCCTCCGCCGTTCACGAAGATTTTCGGGGATGCTCTGGTGCGGGAGGGCGAGCTTGGACCTCAAGAGACCGTCCCGTCGTCTCGCCCTCGTGAAGATATGAAACTCGGATTTAGCCGCTGCCGAGGCGCGACGACAAGGTCGTGGCGATTACAGCCGCGATGCCACGCTCTTGAGACGTATCCAAAGCGAAGTTTCTCGCAGGGTTCTTGGCTTTGTCCAGGCCCGGTGGGACGGGCATCGGTATCTTCGAGAAGAGGTTTGGCCCAGCCGCGAACCTCAGACCTCTGCCTCCGGGCTTTGCA